GGTGCAGTAATGTCACATCGCGTGTGAAAAAAATCACCAGCTTAAGGCCAGTTTTTCAGGGATGGCAAAATCAGATCATTTATCACAGCCCGTGATCGTTCACCGATCGAGCAGGAGGACAGTAGTAGTAGTAGTAGTAGTAGTAAGAGTAGTAGTTGTAGTAGTAGTAGCACGGAGTTCGGAACACGATCCGCGCAATCAGAATCACAGTGCACGCATCAAGAATCAGCTATCACGAACTGGATTACGGAAGAACTGGACCGCAATAGCACTAGCACGTAATGTCACACGTAGCTGAGACGCGAGGAAATGATCACAGGAATGGTAGTTCGTTTATTGGAAGAAATGAAAGCGATCAAATAATATGTACAAAAGAACATCATTGGTAATCCAGGCTTCCACCAATCTTATTGCAGTATTGCTTGCATAATTCTGCTTCTGTCCGGACTGCACTGTATCGGATTGGTTGGCACAATCGGCCTAAGGCGTGTAGTCAGAAACCGTACACGTGTGATTGACGTCAAGTTTGAAATTTGATTGACCTCAGGTGTCCAGGATCTGTGACGCGCCGCCCCAGGTTAGGCATCATCTCGTAGACCTGGATAACCACAGATTACATGGCAATTCTGAACCCTTTTGACTTGGTTCTAACGCAAAACGAAAAATTATGTATTCTGATATCCAAATTGTGGTCAGATGGATCAATTTTTGCCCAAGGGTAGGTACATCCACGCTTATTATACAAACACCTTGTTCGTTCGTGATAAACACGAAATTGTTGCTTTTCTTTTCTCCTACGATATTTGTTAGGATGTGATGCTCATTCCAAAGGAATTTTTCGACAGAGTTTGTGTCTCAATTTCTTCCAATCCAGTGGATGTTTGGCGCATCAAACCCGTATCCCTACTAGTTCCGGGGCATCTCATCTCGCCTTGGTCACGATGTTCACTACACCTTTTCCCATCAAGCTTTAGCCAAAACCCGAAATGCTTCAGCCACGACCCGTAAACCTTTAGTCTCGACGCACAACCTGTAGTCACACTGCTGTAGGTGAGTCAGAACAAAAATTATCTGAATATTCTGAGGTCAACGACGGTTGAAAAAATTTATAATTCCCGAATTTCGACATTGCATAGCTTGAATAATAAATGAAAAGGTGTGGCGATCGTATGCTGCGCAGTTGATTGTAGTGACTGTATCAAATGCTGCACCACATATTGATTGGTGTAGGTTTAGACGATGTGCCCGTATCGTCAAACCATTTGGTATGGCTTCAGTGTTTTCAGTGAACCAGTTTTTAATGTGCTAAATGATAAGGGAATTAAAAGAATAAAATCTCTCACCTGTTTGAATTTACTGAAGACCTCTTCCAATGGATTGAAAAAGGGACTATATGGTGGGAGAAATCGGACATGGTGGTTGGCATTTAACTGCGCATTCAAAGCTCTCCGATGAACGGGTACATTGTCAAAGATAAAAACTACCGGGACACCCGGTTGCTCAGCAGCGATTAGTGCAGCTTGATAGGAGCCCATTGAAAACATACCAAGTAATCGTTGTATGACATTCATATTTCAGGATATCGGTGACAGATAAACATGCTATTTTAGTCACGTTGGGTCCCTTGCTGGATCAGAGGCTTCTAATGGCTTTACAGCCCATTTTGGATCGTCCATAACTGCGACTGGACCATATGTTTTTAATGGTCTCGTCAATATACAGTCTCAGGGTTGCGTTGCCCGATCTCTATAACCAATCGGCATATTCCACTCGTTTCACTTTGACAGATTCCGTGTTCCGTTCGATGGGCTGGATGGTCAGCTTCTTAATTGAATAGTGATGTCCATCCAGCAATCGACCAATGGAATTCTTGCTGATAAGTGTACCCGGGAAGTCCGTCTCCATGCGTTCCTTTAACTTCCTCAACGTGGCTGTAGGGTTCTCATCGACAACATCACATAAATGTTTTGTGGCCTCGTCGTTTAATTTAGTCTTATAAGACCCAGGCTTTAGTGTTCCTTCCCGATCCGCGGCTGCAATAGCACGACATATTTTGATCTTGATGCCGAGATGTTTTGCAACTTCTTTCAAATCATCACCTCTGCGTGCACATTCAATTAGCCTCCCCGTCACTAGCTGCTTCTTGTTTTCTTTGCGAACATCACGGACGACCAATTGGACGCTATCAACGCGCAGCGAATACGATGATTCCCATTATGAACAATGCTTGATCAAAACCTTAGGGGTGATCCGTGGTTCTGCCATGCTGTCGGTCAATTTCTGAGACAGATCAAGTGATTGCTTAACAGTGAACAATTCACAAGTTCCACTGGAGTTAACCGGGTTTCAATTATAGCGAGAGTTGGAGTTCATTGGTATTGGTTTCCATACTGTCAAGTTTCGCCCAGGTCGCTTTACATCTTGATATTTTTAAGCACAAGGCAAACTGGGATCCATGATGGTACGAGGGATCCAAACGGAGTTGAGTGCTTCCAATCGTCCAGCAGCATTCGTAAACCTGTGTGTTGACTGAAAATTGGTTCCCTTCACATGGCACTCCCGTCGATGCTGATGACGATGATGATGATGATGATGATGATGATGATGCTGCTGCTGCTGCTGCTGCTGCTGATGATGATGATGATGATGTTGACTCGGATGATGATAATTCTTTTGTTTTGTTTTTGGCTTATCCGTTGATGCTGCTGCTGCTGCTGACGATGATGGCGACATCTCACTTCATTTAACTTTGGTTCACTACGTAATGTCGTGTAAGGCACGATGCAACTCTATACTAACAGTCCTGGTCATTCGTTGAATTTTGCAAAATAGTAAACCTTCTTGGTGGAGAAGTCCCGGAATAAATTTTGTTGTTTGTCCTTGCCCAGTTTTGCGAATCATTCAGTATTGAACATCATTCTTTTGTGACTTGAAGGGCTCCGTACCGCGTTTTCGCTCAGTTCTGTACCCGCACGCTACTCATGATAGGCATTAACATATACACATGAACCGTTTGTTTTTCTGGACGAGGTATGGAGCGTGAACTGATTTAACGGTTATCTGGCTTTTGCCGGAAAATTGGGGCACAATGTGTTCGAATATCCTTTTGTGGGTTGTGGTCTGTTGCTTACCTCTTCTCACACAGTGATTTCTTCAATCCCTTAACTATCACATTTTTACTTGGTCTCGGTACCATTTCGACAAATGATGAACAATCAGCCCTTTCACTGGAGGTACCGTATTTCCTGTTTATGCGACACTAAACAGGCATGCGCTTCCCTTACCGCACTGTATTCAGAACCCAGTCTGCATTTTCTAGCCCATGTCCTCTTGCTTCGATTCCGTTTGGTTGAAAAAAGGTGGAACAAGAATAAGTGGAGATGATTAACTGGTTCAATTTGCTTTTAACTGGTTGTCTTTACGAGCAACGATGCACTCGCCTATTGACTCGGTTTGTGGTGTCGGTTTGGATCCCAATCAACCTGCATTCTTTGACCACACTTATTGCCTCATGTTTCCTTCCCTTGCAGTATGGTAAACCGTCTAATTAAAACTAATTCAAGAGTTGGCATTTGTCACATTTGCTATAGTTTTGGTGGTACCAAGATTTACCGGCATCGCATCGAATGCTGTAACGCTTGGTAACCGCGCCAGTAATATTTTATCGTGAGTGCTCGTGTGTATCTCACTGGACCTTTCTGGTTCATGGCGTTTTGTTTACTTTGCTTCGCAGATTTAGCTTCACTCCCGACCCACGGAAGACCTGTCTGTTAGTGTTTCCAAGCCAACACGTGCCCCGCGTCTCTACCGCCGTTCCCCACCGTCGTTCGTCACCCACAAAACCTCGTATCGTCTCCCGTTGCGAGGATCCGAGCCGAGGCACATCCTGTCGCGTATCTCTGTTCACTCCGCTGTGCTGCGAGAGTCTGGAGTACGTTCGCATTGCAATACCTTTGTCGATTTGCTCAGGCAGCATGTCGATTGGTTTTTCCGTGACCTTGGTTTTGTTGGCTGCTATTCTTTGATCCCAGTTCTCAGATTTAACTTTAAGTGATTAGAAATGTAATTTGGCATACTACTAACAGAATGGGTAAGTGACACAGTAAACAGATTGGCGTGATAAAATATGATTGTCGAAAATGGCATTGCAGGAAGAAATTATGAACAGA